GAATTATGGTTCCTGTTGCTTTTTATTTAAAGCCTCAATTAAAATTAACCCGGGAAGACAATAATAATGAAGGAAATTAAGAAATATACATAAATATATATAGGTACTGCGGTATCATTATTTCTTGGTGGCGATTAGTGCTCACCGCAGGGAAGTCCTGCTGTCTGGAAATTGGCTTTGCCTCCTAGGAAACCTGAGGAAAATACTGCCCTAGTTAATGCTGCTGTAGCTCTTAGGAGAAGCTTGAAATTAAATAGATACAGGGTTTTCTTTCAAAATATGCTCCTGAATAAATTAGTTTGCATCCAGAAATGGCATCTGTTTTCCTTGGCTCAGATATTTTTCTAAAATGTTTAGGTATGCAGCTCACACTGAGACCGGTGCCTAATATGTGAGCAGTTTTGAAAATCAGTCCTGCCTTGGTCTGAATTGAAACAGATATACTGTTTTAATTCAAAATTTTAAATACAGAAATGCTGTGGGGTCGGTAACCCCGGGAAAGGGAAAGGACGGGCACTTAGACGTCAGATCTCATGAGGCAAAAAACTAAGTGTTTGGAAGAGCTAAGTGGCCTGGTGTTTAGTTACACGTACCATCTAACCATGAACTTTCTCTCTTATACTTGAGGAAGAAGCTGAAAACACTGGACACGTCTCTGTTTCTGTTGGAGGTAGGTTTTAAGGAGGCATCTGCAGCAATTTGGTCTACTTTTATGATGTTTGTGGAATCTGTACCTAGAATTTCTTGACTGGAAATTTCAGGCCTCGTATCCTCTGCATTTCACTTGGGCTGTGGCTAATGTATTGGAAGAAACTTGGGCTAGTTACTACAGATACGCTGAAGTATTAAACAAACCCACAAGCCTCCTGTTCCTGTAGGCCCTCTGAACTAAAAAGACCTTCCAATTTGTATAGTACTTCTGCCTAATTATCGCAATACTGCTCAGTAGCAGCACCAATGCATATTTCAGATGCTTGGCTGGAAGCACTCTAAGAATTATATGGCTATATCCCCATCCTTCCAAGGATAACACAAAACTGCTGTGTTTGACTTATGCTATGCCATATTGTTCATTCTCTTACTCTTTGCTCGGTTCGTCATTTGCATAGTGTTTGGATTATGAAGGACAATGTGAAAAATCTTAACTTGATTCTCAAATCAGGAAAAGCAATTATAAATCTTTTATTTTTAAATAGTATTTTACGGTTGGAAATTATGCATGCCTTCTGTACATTGCTTGGAAGTGTATAAATATAAAAGCCTCGTTCAGCTGTTTCTTTTTTGTAATTATAAAATGCATCAAAGTACAAATGTAGTTTTAAATCAAAGTTGTTCTCAAACTGTTTCTCATTGTTACCTGCACTGGAAATATGAAATTAATTCACGGCAGCTTATTAATCAATAATGTTTGCTCATGCAGGTCACTTGCTGATTTATCTCCAATTCACAGCTCGTTAGAAGGTATGTAACTCTTCAGTGATGTTGTTATTTAACAGGTATGTTTTCATGGTGCTGTTAATGACCTCTGGATTTAGTAACTCCTGACACAAGAAAGATTTCAGAGATTATTAACATAAAATTGGAAGTCTTTTCCCATGGGTATTGCACACATTAGGTCATGTAATACCTAAAAATAAATTTACCAATCTGTATTTTGGACACTCTTCCTAGGATGCCCATAAATTTCATACAGATAGCTGAATCAGTGTCCAGCCATGATTTTGGATGTATGTATACGCTCAGCTATAAGTATCCCAGGCTTTCTCATCCTCCTAGGTATAGGTGGTACCTCCTTAATTGATGCTATCAGCAGATTTCATCAGTGTATTCCTGCTTTTCCTGTGGTTGTTAAATGCATGAGACAATATAGGAACAAACACTGATCCTCGTGGAACTCTGCCGGTGATGCCCTGGCAGCACAATACTCACCTTTTCAGCAGTTACTCTGTACTAAAAGTTGCTGACAGCCAGTTCTCTACATAGAAATATTAGAAGAAAATATTTTGTATCCTAGTCCTAATTCCTGAAGGAGCTCCGCAGAAGTCTTCCTGCATAGAACAGCTTAAGGGATTACAACCTTCATCTTTGTTTCCTTGTAATAAACTGTTACATCACTATTTTTCATCAGAAGGTATGGAAGGAACTAGTCCTTGAAAATTAGATGTACAGCATACGTCTTTGGTGAAATTTAAAGGAACTGGTCTCAGATACGTGGAAAGGAATTGTAGTTAATGATATGATAAAAAATTGTTTCCTTGCAAGAGTCTGTAAAATAGCAGAATGTCCTGAATATTCAAAG